GAAGAGTTGACTTAACGATGTTATCCGTTGTGCTGTAGCTGCTTCGGAATCATGTCTGTTTCCTAGCCGCTGTCAGTCGATACTTGCTAACAGACGGTTGGCAATGATCCTGGTGAACAGCTGGTAGACTTGTGACAGTCAGCAGGTTGGGTGATAGTTCTTCAAATCTCCCGTCTCGCCCTTCTTCCCTTTAAACAGCATGACTGTTTTGGACTCCTTCCAGCCTGATAGTATCCAGGTCCGTGTCCAGGTAGCAACCAACTGAACTCCTCCGCTAAGCCTTCCATAGCATCTGACCATCTGCTCTAGTCGTTTCAAATGTCAGATTGTCTCGACTGGAGAACTTCCTTCCTTCGTTTTCTGCGCGCCATGCCGAACTTCGCTTCTGAGGATTCGGTGTTCCTTCTGGATGTTGGAGTGATGCTTGGGTAGAAACGCCTATCTATGATGCAAAACAAAGTGCAACCCCAAAAATGCCAGGATGTTCCTGCTGTTAGCAAGCCAACGACTTGCTACCCGTTTCTCGGATTGCACCGAAGCAACGTATGATCGATTCCTTCCTCATGGCTTTTGCTGTTCTTGTCAACGTCATCTGGGTATCAGGGTCAAGGACAGAGTACCGAGATTAATGGTCTGACGATTTGGCTTCTCAGAATGATTTAGGCGATGCTGGTTGCTGCGGCATAGTTCATGGTGCTCTTCGTAAGCCAGTCGTCGGTAGCAGCTGCTTTAGGGTACACTGTTGATCTCTGACGCACCTGCCCATTTATGCTTCCCATGGGAGAATGGTTTTGGATAAGTCTCCATTCTCTCTCCGGGCGGTTCTATCAGACCACGACAGACGCCAGTCCCTGATGTCTTCAGAGAACATTCTCAGCGATCGTCTCCATGATTTTTTCATTTGCAATCAAAATGAACTTTCAGAATGCCGCTTGCCTTCGGCTGAGTCATTGTCTGATAGTAAATCACTCGCTGTTGTTGGGACCTCTACGGCGAACACATAATAATAATAATATAGCTGAAAACACTTCTCCTTGACGCACTCCACTGCTGATGTTAAACCAGTCCGGAAAAGTTTTCTGTTCTGATGACGCCTCTAGTACCTTCGTACAGTCCTTTCAGCTTACCGGTGATCTGCGGTACCTCATTGTGTCGCAGTATGCGCCACAAGGACTGAAGGTGTACCGAGTTCCTGCTCGGAAGTCGAGGAATGACACATGCTAGGGTAGTTGGAAGTTACTTCTCTGTTCGATTATCTTCTTTTGTACGGCGATGTTATACCTACAAGAGAGTCTAGTTCGAAGCCCTGTTTGATTTGATCGAAGCGATTCGTCAATTGAGTTCTGCATTCTCGAAAGAGGATTCACGCGAATATCTTTTCTACCTTAGGGAGAAGCGTGATCCCGCTATAGTTGGCGCAGTCAGAAAGATTCCCACGTTTGAACATGGGAATGATTACACCCTGTTTCCAGTTCTCGGAGATTTAGGACTTCCGCCAGTTACTGTCAAAACCAGATAGATCGAGTTTCAATGGGGTTTCGCCTGAAAATTCCTTTCGCTTCGGAATTTTCGCACTAATCC